TTTGGATGCCAAATCAGGAGAATAGAGAGGATGGCCGAGCAAATTGTATCTCAAATCTCGTAGTTTTCCCATTGCCAACACACTTTTGTAAGCAGATGCGTTGTCTTGGTGAAAAATATGGGAAATCCTCCTAGAGACAAACCCTTCTAATATTTTTTCATCGCAGTAAGGACAGTAGAAATGTGTTTTATTTGAAAAGAATCATTCGTTATTTAAATCTATCATTTCTTATATAAATGGCGCGTTATTATCTTATGTTGTTGTTGTCGTGTTCACATTGGAAAATGGGTACCGTTGCCACGTTAGTCACCTTAGATCAGAATTTGGCCAAATATTCCAAGGGTCCAGGGAGGACTGGTGTGGTTGGACTTCTCCCCCCGTTATTATCTTATGTTTAATATATATATATATATACATATATATGTATATGCAGATATCTTAAAGCTTTTTAAAATGTTTATAAAAATATTATTTGTAATATACATATGTTTGTTTAATCAATATGTCTTTATTTTATATTTTTCGGACATATATGTAGTCGTACCCCTAAATATATATATATTTAATTAAAAAGGTACAAAACACAACACATATACAAAACACAAATATATTGGATCAAAATATAATTTATTTTATCAATATATCAGTTGGCTGAACGCCAACCTTTTTCAATGTATTATAACATAGATACGCATTAAATATGTTATAATACCTTGAAAAAGGTTGGCGTTCAGTCAACTGAAATATAGAAATATATATATATTTTTTGATCCAAAATGTATTTTTATAAGAAATTTGAACAATTTTTGACGCGTATAATTCTTTTTAAAATAAAACAATTTTCTACTGCCCTTACAACAATGATAAAATAATGGGAGGGCCCCTGGCTCATCAGTGGTGAACCCTCCCAGCGGTTTCGCCAGTTTAATCTACCATACTGCTGTAATATCGCATTTTCGGTTTTCCTTTTATAGTGATACTGAAGTTAGATTCTTGGAAGGGATATGGACTATGGACATAAGCTTTGAGGACAGTAGAATTAAATATAATGTTAATATATTATTTGATTCGAGCATTTCTCTTCCGCAAATTGAAAGTAGAAGTAATTTTAAAACACATTATCAATATGATATATTAATTAAAGATCTATTAATGGATTGCTCTATTTTATTTGTAATATATGTTTTTTAATATATATATGTCTTTTTTTTTCGAACATATATGCAGTGCGCTTCACCTATACTTAGTCTAGCCATAAATATTGTTACAAAACCAAATCGGTGAAAAAGATTTTAATTTGACCGCGTGAAGTATTCAAAATACAGTAGTTGTTATTTGAATATCTCGTGCACACGTGTTTAGAAAAAAATCGGAATATATTTGTTTTTTGATAATGGATTGGGGTGTTAAAGAAAACCGTATAGCTGTAATAGCCTTACACAAGGTAGGCCAAAGTCCTTCATCCATTTTAAACTATTACAAAATTTGAATATTACGCGTCAATTTGTTTATCGAACCATTGAAAGGTTCAACAAGGCTGACACTATTAAATGACCTTGAAAGATCTGGTCGACCGCGCGTGCAACGAACGCAAGCAGCTATAAAAGCCATTCGCGAAAGAATTCGTCGAAATCCACGCCGTAAACAAAAGATCTTAGCAAAGCATATGAATTTAGCTCTAAGAACCGTTTTCAGGATAATCAACGAAGACCTTGGACTGAGAGCTTTCAAACGACACGCAGGTGATTCGATATAACCCCTGCTCTTAGAGATATTAGAAGGGTTAGATCAAAAATGTTGGCGCGGCATGATGGTCGGTGGCATGAGAGAATCCTTTTCACAGACGAAAAATTTTTCACTGCCGAGGAAAAGATTAATCGTCAGAATGATAGGATATATGCTCGTAGCTCTTTAGAAGCTTCTTTGAAAGTCAGAAGACTTGAAAAATGTCACCACCCTTCTTCTGTCATGGTTTTGTGGAGAGTTAGCTACCAAGGTGTAACAGATCTCCACCTCTGTGCCAAAGGGGTAAAAACTACGGCTAAAACTATAAAGAAGATATTTTGGAACAAATAGTAATGCCTCTGAATACAAAAATGTTTAATGGAGAACATTGGATATTTCAACAAGATTCAGCTCCTGCTCACAAAGCTAAGTCAACTCAACAATGGTTGGAGACGAATGTTCCGGAGTTCATAAAGGCCAATGAATGTCCCACTGGAAACCCTGATTTAAACCCCCTTAATTACAGTTTGTGGGCATATTTAGAGGAGAAGGTGTGCTATAAAAGATATCATATTTTGGATTAATTTAAATCAGCATTGTGAGAGCAATTAAAGAAATACCCTTAGAAAAGGTCCGTGCCGCCATAGATCAGTGGCCCGAACGTTTGAGATCCTGTGTCAAAAATAAGTGAGGACATTTTGAATGATTGTATATATTTAAAATCTATGTCCTATTGGCTAATAAAATATGTATTTATATTCCATTAGGTTTTGTTCTTAATCATTTAATTTTTAAAATTGTTTGTAACAGAATTTATGGCTAGACTGTGTATATATATGTGAATATTTGCTATCTTATTTTATCAAAAAGCTAAGATATTTCCTATAGATTTATGTTGTTTTCAGAGGGTGTTTGAAAAAGTTTAGTATAAGGCTATATGTGATATCAGTTCGTATAAAGGATATCGTATAGACGAGCTATAGGGTGACAGATGGAATTGTCAATGGAGGAAGGACGGGATAATTCCTGTGTGGCAGCCCCAGGGCATTATGGGAGATTTGGGAGGTCCAAATGATGCGGTGATAGAGTTGGGGCAATTAATGGAGATAAAAATGTAGGCGCCAAAGTTTCATTTAATTAGGGTTACCCCGCTAATAAACACATAATTACCGTAATGAAGTCGATAATTAATGAAGCGTAATTGGGAGAGAGAGAATGAGCTGATGGGGTGGATGACTTGGGGGGGATGGGATCGTTCAGAGGCTAGCTAGCTCCCACCATTCCACGTCTTACAGAGGCTAGCTAGCCCCCGCCATTCCACGTCTTACAGAGGCTAGCTAGCCCCCGCCATTCCACGTCTTACAGAGGCTAGCTAGCCCCCGCCATTCCACGTCTTTCTTAGAGAGGCTAGCTAGCCCTCGCCATTCCACGTCTTAGATAGGCTAGCTAGCCCTCGCCATTCCACGTCTTAGAGAGGCTAGCTAGCTCTCGCCATTCCACGTCTTTCTTAGAGAGGCTAGCTAGCCCTCGCCATTCCACGTCTTTCTTAGAGAGGCTAGCTAGCCCTCACCATTCCACGTCTTACAGAGGCTAGCTAGCCCTCACCATTCCACGTCTTAAATCAGAACTGTTTTGGGAGTCTTTCTACGTTTTGAGTTTGTTGTGCATTTTGGGTCCATTTATATCTTAAGTCAGTTTAATATTTAAGGTCAGTCGATATCAAAATTTATTTGTGAATTAGAGGTCTTTGGAGTCATAAGTCTGTTGTTGATGTTAAGTCCTTCCTTCTTAAATCAAAACTGAACTCTTGGATTCATTTCATGTTCTCATTCTCAACACTGAATCTTAAAATCAATTATATGTAAGTATGTATATAAGGTTTGCGTTCAGCCAACTGAATTATTGGCATATAAATCTTTTATTCAATACAATATATGTATTTTTATTATCTAATGAATTAAGTATGTATTTCTCTATTTTCAGAATAATTCGATATATGTACTAGAAGTAATACCTCTCCCTTTTAAAGTGTATTAAGACAATTCACTTGTCTGAATTTCCAAAACCTGGTGTTGTGTCTCATTCTTTATAAATTCTATTACGTTTTATGCTGGGGTGATGAACCAGATGTATTGTTTTAATGCATTTTTGAAGGGAGAGGTGCAAATATTGGTACATGAATGCCATCCTTCGTTACTCTATATTGAAATCTATATATATCATATAATATAAAACTCAAATATTTCTATATTTTAAAAAATATATATTTTATTTTATTCATTGATAATTTTACCTTTGTTATCATCATTTTTTAGAAAGACTTTCAGTTTTTGTTGTATAGTTTTGTTGTAAATAAGCGTAGTTAACATATCTATCCTTTTAAATCACTAATATAGGATTAACTTTATAAATTCTATATAATGTGAAAATAACTGATGTGTAATCTTTTCTCAAGTAATTGAAAATAAAAGCTACTTGACGGTAAATAATTATCTTTTTTTTTATCACGACTGCACCTCAACCCTTTATCTTATCGATCCTTTGTCTTATCAAGCCTTATCTAACAACAACAAAAATATTCATAACATATATATATTGGCCAATTCTGGAATAATTAAAAATCAACGAGAATAGTTGATATTTATTCCGATAGATGGCGCAAGTCATCAGCAACTCTCAGTTGTACGATAAGGAGATGCCTTTTTCTTAATATATATATATATATATATGTCGTATCCGTCGTGGTCGAATGGAAGTGCGCCACCGTTGTGCATGTAAGCTTCGAAAAAGAACTTGTTCCACACTCGTGAGCGCGCGCACGCGGCGGCGTGCCGTAGCATTCGCCCGCGCGCGATGGCTCCCACATTTATTTTGTACAGTGTATTTATAGATGGATGAATTTATATTTATAATTTAACATTCTAATTATGGCGAAAATAAATTATATCTCTTTGGCATTAGGCAAATTATGACATATATATTTATTAAATCCCGGATTTCCATCCGAAGTGGATACATTTTTATAATATGTAAACATTTTCTACTCAATATTTAAATATATGCAAATATAATAATGAATCTGTGTTACCCGTGTTCTGACCGAGTGACCAACAAAGAAGGTTTTAAAACGACATTTGAAAATTATCCCGCATATGTTTCTTTTAAACGAAAAATCGAAATTTATTTTTAAGGAGAAATAACGATTATTTCTAACCTTAGAGATGAAGTATGAAAGGATGAATTGTGAAGACTAATGATAAACGGAAAAATAAAAGTGTCCAAGGATGGGAATCGAACCCACAGTGTTCCGCTTACCGGGCAGATGCCATGTCCACTAGGCTTTTAACAAAGATTTATTTTTTGATCGGTTGAGAAGTGATAAAATTATCCGACAGCCACGCTTCAAGATCAAATACCGAATTGGGCACAATTCTTGCAGAAGTCCAACCCCACAAGTGAGTGCAAGTCACCACACAGGGCTCTGGTACACTTATAACTTGCAAATATTGAACTGTTTTCTACATCTGTAGACATGTGGTGTACTTACAGTAAAAACTGTCGCTAACTACCCACAATGATCATCATGGACTGTACCTCCTGTATTAGAGATAACTTTAAAAAAGACATATTTTCAATAATTCACAATATATTTTTTAGAGAAATAGAGTTAAAAACATGTATTTATAGCATAGATAACACTCTCTCTTAAATAACACTTTGTATCAAAAAGTGTAAGTTGTATAAAGCTTATGATTTTGCTTTGTTTAAAAAATGAATCGATGTTGGTTCCATTATGCTTGAATTGAATATTACACCTTAGTTCTATATATTTTATTGTTTAAAATGGAACACAACAAAACAAAAAAGAAACTACAATTGCAAAATGATTTGATAACTAACAAATAGAAAAATAAAAATAATAAAAATGATGATAAAAAAATTGAATATGTCTGCCAGAAAAATGCTTCTATGAATTAAAAAATAATTATAATTACAAACTTAACATATAAACTTCAAACACACTTATTAATAAATTAAATGGCATAAAAATTCCTTTATCGTCAAAAATTTGCTGAGCTTTCGGAGGAGTTTCTTTAATTTGAAACAAAGAAAGATGGCTCACTGGGTAGTCATGCTATAAACCTAACAGCTGTCATGCTATCTTTCTTAACTTCAGATAAAGAAGACTTCTACGAAAGCTCAGCTTGTTTTGTGTTCGTTTAACATTCAAATCTAGGCCCTCGCGGAATTTTGATTGTGTGTGTTATCCCTTATTTTAAATATTGATTATTAAATAGTATTTAATATAGGAAATGATATCTGAAAGAAGTCCTCACTATACAATATAAATGTATAGAACCAATACAATTATTAAATGGAGGGTCGGTGGAAGGATGATGGTCTAAACCATTAGTTTTCGACCGCTACTACCCGGGTTCGATTCCCGCATTGGGTACTTTTTTCTGATTAAAAAATAAAATGCTCTAATGGCCCCCGATTCTTGCAAAAATCCAACCCCACCAGCGAGTGCAAGTAACCAAACGGGGCTCTGGCACATTTGTAAGTGAAAAATCGAACTGATTTTCACATGTGTAGACATGTGGTGCACTTACAGTAAAAGCAGTCGTCAACCTCTACCCACCATGATCACCATGGCCTGTACCACGTGTACTAGGGATAAGCAAAAACTATGTATACATATATTAAATTGGTAAAAGCGAGGATGATCTCTACGTAGAATGATCTCATATTCGGATAACTCAACAACTCCCAAATATAATTTTACTAGCCGAATGACCCGGGCAACGCCCGTGTTTTAAATCAGACACGTGGACCTGTTGGATCATTATCGCCCGTGTTTTACCCGATTGGATGTTTTTATTCAAATACTATTTGTTACAATTATAAATTGGCGCCTTAAATGAATGCATATATTTGTTAATAACTATAGCCTATGTGCTTTATCTGTCTATGTACTGTTGGCTTCCGTAGGCGTCTCTTACTGGGGCGTCTCTTACATGTCCAACACAATAGTTACAAAACCCAAAAAGCGAGTGGGGGGGGGCAAGGTGTCTCGCGCTGTGGCGGCGCCATCGTAGCGAACCAATAGGAGAGCGCCATTCCAAAAAAAAAAAAGCAAACGGTGACAGAGATGAAGAACGCATGACGCTCGTAACTGTATATAGAATACCTTTATTTTAGATTATACCGATGATAACGTTGTCGTTTATTCAATCATCTATCTATTTTGGCGTGTTCCGCTCAGTGATCAGGTAAATGATTCTATTAAAAAGGGAGAGGTGCTCTTTTTTGCGCATAAATACCATCTCCTCCGCTTCTTCTTTAATTTAATATTTGCAATATTATTTTAAATACAATTAGTAATAATTTGAACGCTCTTCCATATAAAATCACTTAGCTATAAACACTCTCAATCTATTTTACCACATATTATCCTATTTATAAAAAAGAACTATAAAATAATATTTAAAAATATTTTTGAAAAACGTTTCCCTTTATAAATAATATATTTGATATTTCATAGAATATAAAAAGAACTATGTAAACATACACCTTACAAAATCTTCTAACCAAGAGAGGAGCGCTTAAGATAAAAAGTCAAAAACCAACAACAAAACAAAAATAAAAGAACAGAAGAAAAATAGAAATCGGTTGCACGCATGCGCTGGCATTATATAAATGGGCCCAATAAAGCGGAACCCATCAATCTAGGAAGTGGAGTGAATGAATATAAATATCTGTGGCCGTGATAGATTGTTATCTAACTTAGATCTGGCCCCGCTGCCTT